TATGTATGTGTATATGTGTGTATGTATGTGTATATGTGTGTGTATGTATGTGTATGTATGTGTGTATGTATGTGTGTATATGTGTATGTGTGTGCATGTATGTGTATGCATGTATATGTGTATACGTGTATGTGTATGTGTGCGTCCTAGTTTGCTTTTCTGTTGCTATGATAAAACACACTAACCAAAAGTAAGTCAGGGAAGAAAAGGTTTATTTCCGCTTACACTTCTGGGTCTTAGGCCATCATTGAGGGAAGTCAAGGCAGGCATTCAAGAGGCAATGAAGCAGAAACCATGGAGGAACACCGTTTAGTGGTTTGCTTCCTGGCTCACTCCTGTAGTCCAGAACCACGTGCCTAAGGAATAGTTCTGCCCGTAATAGACTGGTCCCCCCTACAGCAATCAAGAACCAAGCCAGCCAGGCGGTGGTGGCACATACCTTTAATCCCAGCACTCCAGAGACAGAGCCAAGCGGATCTCTGTGAGTTTGAGGTCAACCTGATCTACAGAGCTAGTTCCAGGACAGCCAGAGTTACACAAAGAAACCCTATCTTGAAACACAAACAAACAAAAGACAAGACAAAACAAAAACCAAGCCAATTCCTGGAGCTAGAGAAATGGTTCAGTAGTTAAGAGTATTGTTCTTGCCGAGAACCCAGGTTCAATTCCCAGCACCCACATGGCAGTTTACAGCCATCTGTATCTCCAGTTCCAGGGGATCTGACACCCTCTTCTGACCTCCATGGGCACTGGGCACGCATATATTCCACAAATGTATATGCAGGCAAAATATCCACACATAAAATAAATCTAAAAAATAATTAAGAAGAAAAGTATGACATCCAGGATGCCTTGCTATTTGGAAAAACCAGTCTTTCCACTGAGCTAGTTAACACCTGGTTTATAAATGTTTTGTTATGCAAAATAATCAACTCAAAGCCCACTTCCTCATTTAACTCCCCCCAAACCAAGGGTCCCTGACCTCCAAACCACACAGGGCAAGGCACTTGGTCAGTAGAGACACCCTCCTGTATCCTAGCCTATGAAAGTTGAACTCTCTACCCCCATACCTGTTCATACTCACCTACCCTACCTCACCCACTCCTTCTCAAAGAAGCCGACACAGGCCCTTGTTCCTTTGAAGCATCTTGGCCATCGCCTTACAAAGCCCTGAACAGAAGCAGGATATACTTCCTGCTGGAATTGTGAGCAGACCACTCAACTCTCACGCCACGTCTGCCAGCCTGTTGTATCTAATTAAACAAATCCAGGTATACTCACCCTTATTTATTACCTCAGGTTTGCAGGAAGCATCCAGTTGCTGACTCCAAGGGGAAGTGGCTGTGGCCTATCTGGCTAGGACAACAGACATAGCTACAGGCCTGTGGTCTGACAGCTCCTCGTGCGGTCTTCCTGGGTGTTGTCATGCTCACTGCCTTGCTTTAACCACCCTAAAGGTGACTCCAAAGCGGTAAGGTGATGCCAACGACACTGAGCCAGAGCCTCTCAAGGGCGGGGGCAACGCCAGGTTGGCAAGACCCTCCCGCCCCTGTATCAGGTTTTGTCGCTTTCTTCACCAAGACTCAGCACTCAGAACTGAACACCTAGACCAAGCAGAGTGGGGTCCCTTGAGAGTGTCACTCAGTATTCTGGCTCCGACAATTTAGTGAGCAAGACAGAAGTCCTATCCTCAAAACTCAGAGGCTAGCACAGGGAGCCGCTTGGGGTGGCTACCTGCGATGCCTGAGCCGCTTTTGCTCTTACACCTGCCCAGAGTCACAGCACTCCAGGTCTTTGGATGCCTAGCCCCAACCCCACTGATTCGCTGAGACGCCCATCTGTTTGCTGTAGGGTTGACACTATGGCAGTGTACATGCGCCCCTGTGGGGTGGGAATTGACGGGAGTCGCGGCAGCCTTGCCACTCTGGCCAATGTCCAAGAGCATTGTAGGCTCCTGGGCCCCAAGAACTAGGCCCCGGCAGCTCTTGGTGATCCCTTCCCTGTGTTCCTGCTGCACAGAGCCTATCCTGGGCACAGTACATGCTCAGTCACACAGGCCAAGCACAGACTTGACGCACACTGCACACTGTTGTCATAGGCCAAAGTCCCTAACTTGGATTGCAGATACATCTGTTCTAATAGGCTCTGCAGGTTCCACAACCATTTTGCCTCTAGCTCTGCTTCTGGAGAAACCCAAAGGTCCTCTCAAGGATGAGACTGAGGCCTCCGAGGATGCGGTGCTGCCTCTGAGGGAAGGTAGGTGGCCACAGGTGGAGTCAAGGGTCCCAGCATCAGCCCAGCCCCAGGTTCTGCTCATAAACACCGATCCCCAGCTCTTGCAGGCCAGCAGAGACCAAAATACCTCACCACGCCCTCAAAGAGCCAGAGGTAAGGCAAACACGAATAAATAAGCTTTTAATAAAGCAACAGGTGCCCTACAACTGTGAGCAGCCCGACCTGCTGGCTGCCCGGGGCAAGCGCAGACGTGGAGGAGGCCTCTCCCCACTGTAGCTGAGCAGACAGCTTTCCATGCGGGAGGACGCAGGTGGCCCCCGGGTTTGGAATAAACACGTTTATTGCAGGAAGGGTGAGACGAGTGGCTCACCAGGCGAAGAGTGGCTTGCTGTCCTCCTTGGAGAGCTCACACAGGCAGTTCAGCAGTAGCAGGGAGTCACCCAGGAACTTGGGGGGCACAATGTCAATGACTAGCTTGCGCAGCGCAGCGGGGCTGCTGTGCAGCGGGTTGGCCCGCAAGTCTGGACGCTGCTTCAGGATGCCGTAGGTATTGATGAGAAACTCACTGAACACCGGGTGCACTTCGCGGCTGTAGCCCAGCTTCTCCAGCCGCGCCGTCAGGGTCAGATAGCGATGCGTCAACTCTCGCAGCTTCTTCTCATCCACGGAGCCGTCTAGGGACTTGATCGATGTCTGAGGGACACAGAGTAGTGGAGACAAGGGACCAGGTCAGAGAAGTCTCTGACCCTAGTGGAGGAAGGTGGGACAGGGCAGACTTGCGGGCTTAGAGGGGAAATGGATGCCCTAGGTCCCTTTCAGCACTTTAGAAGGATGAGCCCTTAGGGGGTTTGCACTTGGACCCACTTGAAGAGTCAGAGGGTCTTCAAGCACTTGTCAGCACCAGGATGTACCCCCAGTACCAGCCCTGACCTGGGCCAACAAAGACAGTGTACCTGCTTGATCTTCTCAGGGATGTTGGATACTGTGAAGCCATAGAGGCGTGTCACCCCTGGGAACACATAGGCCAGGATACGCCGGTCAAGCTGGAACGCGATCTCCCCAACGATGCGGCCATCCTTCTCCGCACCCGCAAAACTCTGGATTTCTGGGTGAGATAGGTGCCATCCTGACCATTTCAGGGTACCAAGGTACCTTTGCCCCCCATTGCCAGAGTAAATAAAAGTCTTTAAAGCTAAGATGTTTGGAGCCAGAGAGGGGACTATCTCCTCTTTCAGTCTCTGTCTCTCTCTCTCTCTCTGTCTCTCTGTCTCTCTCTGTCTCTCTCTGTCTCTCTCTCTCTCTCTCTCATTCTCTGTTCTCTGCATGTTTCCTGGGATTGGACCTGAGTACGTGGTTCCATTCTCTGCCTGAGATTGCAATGTGGACCTGAACACAGTGGGGTCCCTGGGAAGGATAGCGTCAGGGTCTCTGGGTCTATCCAGGTAGAATGGGGTGCTCCCTGTTGTTCTCAGATGCTATTCTGTTACCCCACCAACTCAGCCTTGTCTGAGGACCGTAGAGCATCACAGCCTGGCTCTGGAAAGGGCCAGATTCTAGGGGTCCACAAACATCGCCCTCAAAGACTGGCTGGTGTCTAAAGTTCAGTATCAACCCAATCTTGCCTATGTCTGTGGAGAGGATAATGGGCAGATAGAAGATTCTTTTCTTGGAACACTTGGATGGCTGACTCTTCACCCTGGCATCCCCTCCCCCCACAAAAAACAGCCCCCTAATAACCCCTCTACCTGCAGCAGCCTCTGGTGTCATAGAAATCATTATTAAAAAATGTAGTATATATCAGCAGCCTTTTGAAACCTTACGCTCTTTGAGAAATGAACCTCTTCTGACTTTGAGAGAAAGCTCCGGTATCTACAGGATGTGTAACAACCTGTCACTCTGAGGGGGTCAGCTCTATGACCCCTCTCTGCCCAATTCCTACATGACAGAGCAGAGCAGCAAGGTAACTTGACCTGAGGGCCCCCACCCCCATCCCATATGCTGTTCTCATTTAGAATCATCTCTCCTGAGCTTCACACGCCCATCCTGATGGAAGACATGGGACAGCATGCTCACACCTAGGCACCTTCCAGACCAGACCTGTGACACAGCCCTGACCGGGTGTCAGTTTGGTGAGGTCCTATGGATCCGACCCAGAGACTGCAACAGTAATGACCACATGGCTGAGGAAGCCTAGGACCCGCGCTCACCGCAGTAGCTCAGCATCCATACAAGACATTGATAACCACACCGAGAAGTGGGCCCTGGACCCTGCTGCTGGTGCCTTGTGACCCTGAGCATTGTTGGTATGTCCACATCAGCCTGAGACCCTGAATGACCTGCTGATCTTACAGCCATGACGGAATGAAGGGGCAGGCCCAGAGCTAGCTCTGCCAATGCCCTTGGTCAAGCAGCTGCCCATTAGGGTCAGGTCCTAAGCCAGGGGCTGGGATACTCATTGACCAGGACAACATTGCCAAAAAGCATGTATACCTGTGAATACCGGTTCCTCTGGTAAGTGAAACAACCAGAGAGAAGCTTGGGTAGACAAGAGAAACAGGGCCTCCAACCCAGGCTCACAGAATAGGGGACAGGGCAGATGAAGGGCCAGCCCATTCACTGCTCTGTATAGCAAGGTACTTGGAAGTAGGATCAGCTGGTATCTGGTACCCGCCCCCTTGCAAGACCAGCCTCTCCCAAAGCTAGATAGTCTATGTACTTCCCAAGTGTGCTCTGGGGAGCTCGTCACTGCCAGTCAGTGCAGAGAGGCCAAGGGCGCACATCCTGGCCTCCTGCACAGACTCAAGCAGTAGGAGTCAACGACTTTGGGTTCATGGTACCTGCAGAGCTATACTCTCCCCACAGCCTGCTCTGGTTATGAAAACAACCAGAGGGCACAGACCAGGAAAGAGAGTGAACTTTGCTTTTCTCTGTGCCCTGGCTCAGTCTAGTCGGAAGAAGGGAGCTTTTTCAAAGAGAGTGATACTCCTGACAGGGGATGTCACATGCTTGGAAAAGCATGGCAGAGCAGCAAGCAGCCAAGCCAACAGCACGCCCCGTTTTCATTTCTTAACCTTGGAAGAGTTGACTCATCCAGATGAGAATCCTTTGAGGGAACCTCAGTGTTGGGGGCTGTGGGACACCCCCCTCCCCCCGACCCTGATTCTCCTGTAAACAACTTGATATGCTTGCAGCTGCTCTGAGCAAAGCAACTTGTTTTCCTGTGTTTGCAGCTGCTCTGAGCACGAGACCCTCAGGAGTTCCTGATGGCAGGGGAGTGGTTTCTGGTGGGTTTGACTGGGGTGTGGCTATCAGTTAAGGATCCCTATATAAGCTGCCCTGGATCACAATAAAGGGGGCATTCTTGGGTCATTCAAGGATGACCCGTGTCACTGGGTGTCTGTGTATTTAAATCTCCAGCCCCTTTCTCGGCTCGTGAGCCATCCAATAGGGCAGGCGCTGCACTACAGGCATAGTATGGAAGTACACGAAGTACAGGCGGATGATACACCTCAGAATCTAGTACAGTAGAAGCTAGGGTCACCTGATTAATAAAGATTAAAAGTCCTTTATCAGAACATAATTCACATACTATAAGCTTTATCTCTTTAAAGCAGCCAATTCAATGGCCAATATTCCACAGAGCCACACAGCCATCACCACCATCACTTTCAGAAGTTTGCACGACTTCCCAAAGCAAACACTTTCCCTTCTCCAGCCCCTGCAAGACTCTGACTTAGGGATCTATCTAAGACGGGTGTGTCACATAGGTGGAACTATATAGTGGGCAGCCTTTTGTGTCTGACATCACCCACTTGGCATACTGTTTTCAAAGTCTAGTCTTGTATACATCAGCACTTCATTATTCCTTCTGGTGGTTGAAGACTATCCCATCGTATAAATAAGCCACCCTTATAGACCTGTTTATGAGTTGATGGGTGTTTGTATTGTTGCCCTCCTTGGTCTATTGTGAATGAGGCTGCTGTGGACACTCGTGGGAAAGTTTCTGTGTGAACAGATGTTTCGGTTCTCTGAGTAAACACCTGGGAATGGGATTCCTGGGTCATGAGGTTTATGACCTTGTGAGGACCCTGGTGGCTGCCCGACTCTGCATTCCCATCAGTGCTCAAAGAAAATCCACACACGCTCCCCATCTTATACCACTGTTGCCCATCTGTGTCACTGCAGATGGGAACATGGATCTCCTTGTGGTTCTCACTGTGAGCATGGTTAACGGTGCATATTGGCCAGTTAGATATCTTCTTGGAAGAATTATCGGCCCCAGTCCTAGAGCTAGAGATTCTTCTGTCTCCAAGTCCCAAGTCAGTGATTCTCAACCTGTGGGTGGCAACCCCTTTGGGGTTGACCGGCCCTTTCATGGGGTCACATATCAGATAACCTACATATCAGATAGTTAAATCATGACTCCTAACAGTAGCAAAATTACAGTTATGAAGAATAATGAAATAATTGTATGGCTGGGGTCGCCATGGCATGAGGAACTGTATTAAAGGGTCGCAGCATTAGGAAACTGAAGACCACTGTCCTAAGTGATAACAGTACAGGAGGGTGCCACCACACCTGGAGCCTTCTCCTTTTTTAATTGGATTGTTTGGCTTTTTACTATCGAATGCAAGGGGTTTTCATTTTGCTTTTAGTTGATTTTTTTTTCATAAAGGTCTTACTTTGCAGCCCAGGCTGGCCTAGAAATCATATGTAGCCCAGGCAACCTTGGAACTCAAGGCAATCCTCCTGCCACAGTTCCCTATGACCTGGGATTGCCAAAGTGAGTCACCATATCCTGCAAGAGTTCTTATAAATTCTGGAACTATTTCCATACCAATATATGACTTACAAATAATTTCTACAGTGACTTTTCATTTTTTGATGTCCCTTATTAAAGCACAAGAGGTTTTCACTCAGAAAAAAAAAAGAGAGTTCAGTTTATCATGGTTGCATAAGATTTTGGTGTCATACCTAAAAATCCATCGTCAAATCTAAGGTAATGAAGACTTAACCCTGTGTCTAAGTTTTGTGGGTTTTAGAATTCTTAGCTCTCTTAGGCATTTTCATAGGCTTTGAGTTGATTTTTGCATATGATGTGAGGTAATGGCCTAGCATCACGCTTTGCACATACACCCCATGTGCTGAGGACCATCCTCTCTCCACTTAACTGTCTTAGCAATGTTAGAACACCAGACTTTAAATGCATGAGCTTGAGCTGGGCTCACCCCTATGTTAAGTCTTGATTGGCATCATAGTGGATTTGAAATCAGAAAGTGTGAATCTTCTTTGTTCACTTTTTAAGTTGTTTTACCTGTCCTGGATCCCTTATAGGTCAATATAAATATAAGGTTCTGCTTGTCTTTCATAAAGAAACTGGATAGAACTGATAAGAGTTGCAATGATCTATTGGTTATTATTGATACTGACTACAAAACAATATTAAGTCTTCTAATCCACAAATTTTTAGTTAAGTTTTATGTCTTTCAATGTGATTCTTTCTTAGTCATTTTGTACAGTTACAGAAGGTATTAAAACCCCAGGAATTGAAAACTGAGCTTGGAAGCTACCTCCTTGCTTCTTAGCTTTTCTAGTGCTAGAAGGTGACATGCAGGTCACTGGGGGAGAAAAGCCATCAATCCTCTCACCTGGCAATGAAAATGCAACATTGCTGACCTGACCTGACAAGCAGGACATGTCCAGTGATGCAATAGTGGCATGGTTTCTATAGGAGTAACCAACCACTCTCTGACTGGATTTGAGACCTGCTCCACAGCTGGTTATATGTACACGCTACAGTCCTCAGCCTTTACATAGAGGATAGAAATGCGAACTTAGGACTTCCTGCTTACGCAGCAGACACTTTCCTGACTGAGTCGTCTTCCCAGCCCCTGCATTTCTCATGCTGGGGTCTATCTCTCTCCTCTGTATCCCACAAGCATTAATTACGCAGATGAAACATATTCTACCTAGAATTCTAGGACTCATTCCTAGACCTACCTAGAATTTCAAAATCTGCCTATACATCAAGGAAAAACGTCAGTATAATTGATGCATCTCTAGCTAGAGATATTAGGGTAGAATAAAATACAAAAATAGCTGTGATCAAAAATTAGAAATGATACCACTCTAATGACACATAGGGGATAATAATATTAGGAATAACTTTACACAAAAAATAGCAACCTAGGTGAAACAGAACATGTCACCAGGAATATACAAATTACCAAATCTCATGCAAAAACAAATAGATAACTACAGAATATACTTACTCAGTAAAATGTAATTTGTAATTACAAAACATTCTTACAGAAACTGGAGGGCGGCACAGAAGTTAAGAGCACTTGTTCCTCTTTCAGAGGACTTGGGTTCGGTTTCCAGCACCCACATGGTGATTTCGTTATGATCTTTAATTCTAGTTCCAAGGAATCCTATTCCCTCTCCTGGCTGAACAGGCACTGTACATGTACTCAGTACACACAGATACATACAGGAAAAACATGAATACACATAAAATAAAATAAACAAATCTTTTTTTTAAAAAAAAAGAAAAAGATCATTAGAAAAAAATTTCAATGCATTGGCAAAGAAGACCACTTCCTAAATATAACCCCAGTAGCACAGACACTGAGAGAAACAATTAATAAATGTGACCTCCTGAAACTGAAAAGCTTCTGTAAAGCAAATGACACAGTCAACAAGACAAAACGACAGCCTACAGAATGGGAAAAGATCTTCACCAACCCCACATCAAACAGAGATCTGATCTCCAAAATATACAAAGAACTCAAGAAATT